TGGCATAAATCTAAAAAAAAAAAAAAATACGGAATGATTTAATTTGTCATGGATTTTTTTTTGACATTGTTATTCTTTACCTCGTAGTTGTTTTTAAGCGAGGCTTTTTTCTTTAGTTCTGCATGTCCTTTTTCTGTTAAATCCTGAAATCAGAATTGCTGGTTTGATGCATCAGCCTCATTGATGCATCAGCCTCACTGTAGAAGCAGTAGTGAAGGGAGAGGGGAAATTCAGCTTCAGTGCATTCAAATTAATAAATGTGGGACAAGAAATAGCAGGCTACGCCTATAAAATAATGGGTTCTAAATTAACAATTGACACACAGGAAAGGGGTTGGACTGTTATTGCAGATTGTTCCTGGAAAATATCAGTGCAATAATCAGTACTCGTCAAAAAGGCAAACAGGATTTCTAGGGAGGTAATTGAAATGAAATCAGAAACATCATTGCACCACACTGCACTGTTCTACAAGATTTTATAGGATTAAAAAAAAGATACCTAGAAAGGTGACAACAGTCAAGTACGGAATGACTTCCTCAGAAGTAAAGATCAAACAGATGAGGGTTCTTCACGGTGAAAAAACACTGAAGGAAGGCTTGCCAAAAATCAGGTATGATGCACAGAAGGTAAAGGGGAGCCATTGCTCACTATTTCTCACAAGGAGTGTGGGCTCTTGCAAAACTGCACTTTGGCCCATAATGTTGTGGAGAGCAAAAGAAGAAAAGGATCTTTGGAAGGAATTAGTTGTTCCCAGGGAAGGATTCTAGTTGGTAGGTAGAAGGGCCTTTGGCTTAGGTGCTGTGTGTCACTTCTCCCATGGCAGGTAGCTCCGTGGGCCAGATGTGTCCTACGCGTCTTTCACATGGCCTCTGGGGCTGCACAGCTGGAACAGTCTTGTCCCAGATCAAATAACTTCATTGCAGCATCCAGGAGAAGAATAAATGAACTTCGGTGAAGTGGGATATTTGAAAGTTCTACGGAGCGACCTAAAAAGAGTCAAAGGGGAGTGATAAAATGCACTCAGTCATTCTCCTCTGATACACTCCAGACATCAGTATAATTTCATTGACTTCAGTGAAATTAGTGTTAATGTAGGAATGGAAATGCAACAAATCTAATTCCAGCATCTCCTTCCTGGAATAGCGAGTAAGAAAGCAGGGGGTAATTGGATAGAAACAAGTGCTGAACAGAGGGAATTGGAACGGGAGGAAGAGAGCGCCAAGAGCTGCTGCCAGGAAGGAGAAGATGCTTTTCCAGTCTCACATCCTCACATGGAGATGGATGGTGCATGCATGGAGGTAGAAATGAAGAGCCAGGCTTTATTTGTTCATTTTAATTAGCTATCAAAAGGTGCGTAACCCTTCGTTGTTCTGTTGAATGGTCTCAAAATCTTTCTGCCAGGACAGCAAGAGGGGCTAAAAATCTTTCCAACATTGTCAATGTTATTGTTCTTGTTTTACAAGCCTCTTCTTTACGAGACAACTGTGGAAAAAGCTGTCAGGCCCCAGTGATAGTTCAGCATCCAGCAGTTAACCCCCATAGGTTGCCCAGGTGTATAATCAGTACACAGGAAAGTTGATTCTTCCCTCAAGTCTAAAAATATGTGGGTGAATTTTTTGGACAAAAACTGCACCATTTTAGGAAGTGTTAAACATGCCAAAGTCCTACCCTGTTCAGAAATCTATATGATCTATTTATTATTTTAATGGAAGTGAAGAGCAGGTGTCACGTCAATCACAGGCACAAAGGCTTTGCTGAAATGAAAACTTGATGCCAATAAATTAGAGAAAAAGAGATTCAGGTTGGCCCTGATAGGGAGCAGTGGGCTGAGAACTCAGGGTTTGCATTTTATGGATGTTCCTGAAAGACACTGTGAATCAGTGTATTTCAAAGGTTTGCAATCAAAAAACTGGAAGAAAAAATGTTTTGCTGCAAATTCTTTTAGATTTATAAAACCCTGAGGTAAATTGTTTCAACTTTTTGTGAACTTTTTTTCTCTTGGCACACCATCTAGAGAAAGCAAATTTTAACAGATTTAATTTGAGATGAGATTTTGGCATTGCCACAGAAAACTTTGGATACTGAATTTTGCTTGGCTCCATCTGGAGCAGAGGCTTTATTATTTGCAGGACTGAGAGTGAGGTAGAAGCTGTTTTTGCAGGTGATTTAGATGCGCAGGAGACATTACTGTTCAGTTCAATGAAGCCAGTCTTGTGGTCATCTCATGAAACAGAATTATCCTGAAAACAGTGGGATGTGAAGTTTCCCTCCAAATTTGAGCGTTTTAATATTAAGTTGTATTAACTATGTGATTTTGTTCCAGCTAAAAATACCCTCGTAATTACATACGAAATCTATCCTCATGCAGAGTTCAGTTCGACAAATTAAAATACAGAATGCAGTAACTACAAAATACTAGGCATTACTTTTAATTGCACTCTTATCTCATTAATATTTTGGGGTAGATATTTTATAAGTAGTGCACTGTTATACTAACATTTGTGTTTTCCATATTGCTCAAGGACCTGCATGCCCTGCGTTTTGTAGTGGGAATCATTTCTATAATTGTCCCAAATCCATTCTCATTAATTCTATTGAGATAAAATTGAATATTTAATTAAATGAATAAGCAAATTTAGACTGTGTGCTGGAAAGAAAGAACAAATTAGAAGTGTGAAAGGAAATTTAGGAACTGCAGTAAGTCCGAGTCTGTTCATGCTCTGCATTCATACTCACGTATAGATATATGTGTGCGTGTATTTATATATATGTGTGTATGTCTAAAACACACCAACACATACAGATCTGTACAGTAAATATTTTGTATCAGTATAATGTAGAAAATGATATCCCAAGAGATAGAAACATCTTCCAGTATATGTCCAGTATTTTGAAGGTATCTTTACAGCATTCCTACAATATTTTAACAGGGTACAAAGTTGAGTGCTGCTCTGCAGGATGCAGGTGCTGCTTTGGTATCCTGCCTCAAGCAGCTTTGCTCTCTTGGCTTCATCCTAATATGACAAGAACTTGGTGTCCCACCAAAAAATTCCTTTAAAAACGTCAAAGAAAAGAAAAACAGAAGGAGGTAAAAAGCTGTTTCTTAGTGTAAAAGTGACAGCTGCCTACTTTTCTGAGAGACCTTTTTATTTCTGTGAGTGATCATTTTTGAGACACTGTGAGATTCCATGTGACGGTGCTGGAGGCCCTGCTCATCGCATACATGACCCACACAGGTATCAGCACTGGCCAAAAATAACACCAAAGAATGAATGTTCAGGAAAAGCAAATCTTCTCTCTTTGATGGCAAAAGGGAGGAGAAGGCTGTGTGTGACTGGTTGATGTTCGCTGTCACAGCTGAGACTCTTGAAATATAGGAGGGATTTGGTTGGAAATGAGGCAACGTTAAGGGTAATGGTTCAACATGAAGAAAATAAGTAAGAAATAGAACAAAGTGCTGGAAGGAAAGACTTTCAGGCATTTGTGGTAAGCATAGGTTTAATTTATGCAGCAGGTCGAATGCTACATTTGCCATTCGGCAAGGAGGCGAGACATTTCTGGAGTGACAAGAGTAGTCACTCCAAGACTCCGAGACAAGAGTAGTGTAGGAGCATAAGCATAGGAAAAGGTTTGGTGGTTCCTTTTGTTAATGAATTATACTCTTTAAGTCATACCCTTTTTATGAATTCCAACTTCAATATTGTCTTTCTGTTGTCCTTTGTATTTAGCAGCTCTCAGCAGTATGTTGGGAAGGGTGAATGGATGTGTGCAGGTGACCTCCGAAGAGGGGGTAGAGCCTCGATAGCAGCCCAGAAAAGTCATCCCCCAAAGCTGTGACGTGCTAGATCTACCTTGCACTGGATATGAAATACAGAGAAAAAACCCTAACCTTAAACCTAAAGCCTCACAGCCTTAGGGAAGAATTCTCCAGAATTAAGGCCCCTATACTCAAAAATGAAGATTACCAGCGGAAGCAAGACTTTGCCTATTAATTAGCATGGGGTAATGGCATTTGCCCTGCTTTATGTTTCAGTGCAGATGCTGCCATTTCTCATTTGAGGGTCTGACTTCCTCTATGGTGCTCATCATCTTTAAAAACTAAGAGGAGGGATAAGCAGACCCACGGCATGTAATGCATTCTAGATGAAACAAAATGCAGGAAAGTGCATCCAAATGCTGAGAGGAGACAGCCGAATCAGTGCGGGGATGTGTTTGGTACTATATGGATAGCATCATTTCTCAGGTAGATAAACAAAATAATTTTATAACATAGGGTGACCGTGACAGGGGATGTTGAACAAGTGAGATGTGTGCAATTTGGGATTTCACACCTCTTTCTTAGGAATTTTTGCTTTCCCAGAGCCAGGCAACCCTTGGCCTGTAGCCTCAGGGGGAAAATGTGTATAATTTGTTGAGGCTGCTGAGTAACCTTAGCCAGCTTCAGCCAGTATCCATCATTTCATCATGGCTGGAAGCCAAACATGCTAATAATTATGAGCAATGGTAGCCCTAACTTAAGATTGTCTGGTCGAGCATTGTACAGTGTTTTGCCATAGCAATTCAGCCAGTCTGGAATTGCAACTATGTGTGCAAGATCTAGCTACTGAGCTGCAACACATTTCTGTAGTGGTGGGGCCTGGACCTTTAAAGTAAATATTTTCCATTATTTGAGTGCTCTTATGAAAAAAAATACTCCCAGTTTCACCATTTAGAAATCGGTAACTGAACAAATGCAGTTGAAAGCCCTTATTTTTGTCAGGATTTATGCATAAAGTATGCAAAATGCCTAATTGCATCCAAAGCAGCTGTTCCACTCTGTTATGCAAACAATATCCCCTATAAAGGGAAGAACAGCGAGTGTGAATTCCTGCGGTTTACTGCTGATGATCTCTTAATTACATTACTTTTTAGCACTCATCAGACAAACATGCCATGAGAGGGAGCAGAGATTTGGCAGATCTATCATTATCCTCTTAGTTTAATGTTGGTGTTACAAGAGCATGAGGAGGGTTGGGGAGAGGGCAGTCAATGTCACATGGAGGCGAGGAGGAGCTATGCAGTGTGAGGACTGGGATACACGGACGGAATGTACGGCTGGATGCAGGGCCTGTATACAGAGCATGTGAGTCACGGGGTGGCGGATCCAGGCTGCCCAGTTCTGAAAACTTTGAATTTTGCACATGAAAATGAATGCACCTTGGCTAAGGGCAAAGTGTAAGCACACAGACCCCCATGCGCTCAAACTTCTGAGCCAAATCCAGGTCCTCCCTGAGCCTCCCTGATCGCAGGGAGAAGTTCAGAGCTGAAATTTGTTGCTGAAGCTTTGGCCTAGCAAATCCTCTGCAAATTAGGGATAAGGATGCTTTGGGAGGGCTTCTGGAGGATTCGTATGTCAGATGGTGTGGCATGTAGGTATGTGGCAGCCAGGAATCTGGTTGCAGGTAGGGTGGAAGGAGATTTTTTTTACTTTGGACTGGGCCCTTTTGAAAGCCAGTAGGGTCCGATGCTGATACCTCATCCCTATCTATCAGGAGGAATCATGCTTAGAATACAACCTGAACACTGCTGTGACACTGGTGTCAGCATTGCTGCAGTGGGCTCGTGTGTCTTAATGGCACGGTTCCTGTAAGACCCAAGGGTTCAACATGAAAATTGGACTTTTGCAGACCTAGGTCTCTAAAATGAGGTCATACTTGGTGCTTTTGCTGAGCTGATGAACCCCAAGAACCCGGAGTATGGCTGAGGGATGGAGCATGCAAAACTAAGCCTGTGGGGCAGGAGAGGGCAAGAAGATACCGGAAAACCACTCTGGTTAAGGAGGGCGCTTGAAAGGACTGTACATTTTGTTGAATCACATGGATGGGCCAGAGGAAAGCTGTTTATTTAACAGTGGCAGCTTATCCCTGCTGTATTTCAGGGAGGCAATGGAATCTGGGAAATGGAAACTGTGCTGTACTCCAAGGTGTTGCACCAAATAGAGCCTGCAAACATTCTGTGGTATAATCAGGTCTGTTAAGGCAGGGAAGAATGTAATAAGAAAACTGCTCAAATTTTAAAATAAATTAGGTCTTTGGATATCCCTCATATCTGATCTCTTCATTAAATGATATTGACTCCATATAAAAATGAATATGTATATTTTTCTGTGATTTTTCTTTACAATTACAGTTTAAAGTTATGCTTAGACTCAATAGCACTGTGGCATAGACTGTTGGGAAAATTAAGCCTTTGGTTCCTAAAGGCAGATGTTCCTACTTGGACATACTTAGAATACAGTCAAGATGATAAGTCAGGATGAAATGCTTTGGGCTAATTTAGGTAATTCAGAGTCCTAGTTTGTAAGAAAATTGCTTGTTTTTAAACAGACCTAAAGATTTATGCAACATGCTTTCTGAATCATTCAAAAATATTTTATATACGTACAAATACAGCAACACACATTTTACATATAAATATATATAGCGCTTAAATCTCTGTATATAATTTGGAGGAGATACTTCAACACTGAAAAGTAGAAGTAGAAATTCCAATAATAGTTGAGCGACCTGCCTCATAGTTAGGGCTGTGGAAAAATGTTTCTACATCATTATTTTAAATTGATCAGTATAAAATCTGGTGAAGACTGCTAAAGATTTCGGTACAAATAGGGCAATTAAAAAGTGAGCATTGTGTGACTTTAGGAGCATAGCATAGGAAAAATGTGAAGAAATGAGAATCATTAAAGAGGAGATGAATAAACACTATCTGACCTAACTAGTCAAATGAAGAAATTGGATAAAATAATTTCCCCTTCAGTGCATGTAGCACAATCTCTCTCTTTCCCCAGAGCTTCTTCTATAAAGGAAAGACTAAATTAAAACTACTCAGGTCTATGTATACTTTCAGAGATTTCTTTATAGATTGTTTAAATCCTCTTGCTGTCAGGAAAGGCACAGTATTTTAAAGCTGTCAAAACTTTTTGCAAATGATCTTTACTGCCAGTTTCCCCCACCAAAAATAATTTAAAAAACAACAAAAACAAAATGCCTTAAGTAATATTTTTTTATTATATTATCATTTATGCCAGCTAAGGAGCTCGATACTTATTTCAGTTCCATTTCTGTTGTATTTTCTCTTACTGAATATACCCCAGCCTGGTGCTGGACAGGGAATAGCAAAACCAGTAGCTTGTATTTTTAAGGCAGATTAAATCTTTTAGCATTAAATGCTCCCAAGAAAACATTTACCTATAGAGGACAACATGTTTAAAAAATGCAATGCCGAAACTTACTTTGTTGCAAACCAGAGCCTGGCAAGCAATAACACTAGATTTTCCGAATGATCCTCTTTGCTAGGTGTCATGTAGAGCTCCCAGAGATGGGGAGCTCATTTACAGAAAGAGGTGGATTTTTTCCTTTGCAAAAAACTATATAAACTCTATAAAGTCTCTTCTGACTGCGTATTTTCTACAAAATTTCCCTGACAAAGAGACATTTTTGCAGAGGAGGAAATAAATAACAGTAGTTTCAAACAAACTGTTTTCACCATTATATTCTAGGCTGTTTCCATCCTGGCAGGTGTCAGAGTTGAATCTCTTCTTGCCTATCTAACTGGGTCCTATGTTACAATTTTGCTTCAGCCCCTTCATGTACTGTGCAGGTTTGCAGCTGAATTTCAGGCATTGCAATTGCCTACACAATCTAGTTACAGGTTTTCTTTGTGCAGAAAGACAGGGCTGCTGGAATAGATACGGGTTTTCTTTACATTTATAGTCACAAACAGCTTCAGATATATCAGACCCTGGAAAGCAAGAGGGGAAGTACTCTGGACTCACATATCTGATGAACTAAGTTCATGATAAATCAGTAAATGTTCTTGAGAGCAATGAATATTATCACATTTACAAGACGTGACACTTCATCAGGTTTAACCTACCTTGAATATCCAGGGGAACAAAGAAAACAAACAAAAAGTCAGGTGACATTCATCTATCTAGACTTATTTTTAATAATCCACAGGCTTCTGTAGTCTTTTATGAGTTGATATATATATGAATGGGTACAGGATATAGAAAACCTTTTATTAGTAGCTAGGAGATGTGGTTCAACAATCAGTAAATCAGGGGGAAAAAATGTTTGTACAAAGCTTTATTTCTGGACAACATATAGAGCTCTCATTCTACTGAGCTTTCTAAAATTGAAACCTTGTGTTCATTTGTGCTACCCACTGGGTGACCTTGTTTGGTGCAATCTTGTCTGTTGGGATGCAAAAAAAGCCCAGTCTGATAAAATGATGAACATTGTGTTTCAGCCGAAATTCAACATCTCATTTTTATATGGACATAAGAAAAGGCACAGTGAGAAATGGAAGTACAATTTTTCAATTATTTAGGCTTTAAGCAAACCACTATATTTCTTTAGAAATGCTGCCTCTCTCATCAGGGTGATAAATGACAGTAAATGAGTATGAAACAAAGTCAGTTTTTTGAAATGAGGGAGAAATGTGTTGTGTAGAGGGAAAGACATTACGCACTGAGAGATGGAAGGCATTTATCCTTTCACAATGGGTTATTGTTTACCATTTCTAGGCTGTGGCTGTTTTCTTAAAAACGCTGTATGGAAATGCATAGCCGCACTTTGCTATACAGTATCTCCAAGCAAAGATTATTAAAAATGACAGGCACATTTCTGTGTATTTGATAATGTTCTGAAGAGCGTGCAGCACATTGGTGTTATGAGAAATCAGAATAGTTTTCTTTTCTGCAAAATCTGTAATGCCTAATGGAATAATGCCATTTTGGGCTTTCTTGCGAGAGTGATTAGTTTGTGACTCAATATAGCACCTTAAGCTTGCTTGACTCTAATGATATCTTTCAATACAATGCTATTCAAGAAAGCTTTAGCTAGGGTGTGCACTTATACATTTGCCTAAATGCTTTACTGAATTTATGCTGGAGAATTAGTCATTCCTTACCAAATAGTGTTTCACCGTATCACACGCAATGATATACTGAATGGGGTGAGTTTTTCAGTAGGAAAGGCTTGCTCAAAAGGATGCTTTTCTGGGTTATGGAATATGGTTCTTTGGTGTTGCACCACTCGACTGTCTGAGCTTGGCAATCTAGGTGGCTTGTTTGGAAAGGGGAGAATCAAATCAGAAGAGAAGCAGCTCCCAGGGTATGTCTGGGGTAGTGCTTCCTACTCTGCGGTGTCCTCTTCCAGGCTTAGGGCTATGCCCAAAGTAATGTGATAAATTCAGGACATTGCATGGTTTACTAATCCCCTTTTCTCCCTTTGAAATCAGGAACAACGGGCATCTAGAGCTGATTTGACATATCCAAATGTCTGTAAAATAGAACTGTGAAATACAACACCACTTGATCTATACCGTGTACAACTTGGCCACTTGTGCAGGGTTCCATTTCAATGGACTTCTTTCTAGGCGGCCCAGGCTCCTTCCATCTCTACACCATCTCTTTGACACCCTTCTCTATTATATAATGAGTTTGCTGAGCTGATCCCTGCATCGGAGCCTCATGATTCTTTGGACAGTTTCGTTGAAGGCTTTGCAGCAGTCACACCTGAAAATTGGTTTGAATTAATGTATCATAAAAAAAAATCCGTAGTGGCCGTTTTGAATAGCTCTGTGCATAGTCGTTCTCTGTATGAATGATTTTGTAAATTAATGCACCTTGAGTGACTATGTGAATTGTATGCGTAAATTCAATAAATAGCTCTGCGAGTGCTTGCATGTGTGTAAATGGAAATTTTCAGGATATTTGAAATAGTTGTCAACCATATATCACTTTTTTGAGGTTATTCTTGAATGATGGGTAGCATTTTACTGGAGCATATTTATTTTTAATTACATTCTGTTTCTTTCAGCTCTTCTTTATGCAACTATTTTTGGAAACGTCACCACCATTTTCCAACAAATGTATGCCAACACCAACCGATACCATGAGATGCTCAACAATGTACGGGATTTCCTAAAATTATATCAAGTTCCGAAGGGCCTTAGTGAACGAGTCATGGATTATATTGTCTCAACCTGGTCCATGTCTAAAGGAATTGACACAGAGAAGGTATGAATGCATGAGGTAACAAAGTAGATGGCTAAGAGTCCGTATGTATCATATGCTTTCTTAGAGACAGGGACTGTACAAAAGCAAGTAACTAGAAAACTTAACTGCATGCTACTCCATTATTATGGTTGCATTTTGATTAAAAAGTGTTTTTTTTGTTGTTGTTGTTGTTGTTGGCTGGTTTGTTTTTTTTGAGGACTGTTTTGGAATTATGGCTTTACTTTTCATTACGGTCAACATTTTATGCTTTCTAATCTTACTTTACTAAAATACTAAATACCTTTAATGCTTTCAACTCTTGACATCAGTTGAAAACTGATCTTCAGATTAGTCCTAGGATGTCATTTGGTATCAAGCCTATATCACTATTAGCCTGAAAAGTGTTGGCATCTACAATGACATGAGTTTGATTGGCTTGTACTTTCTGCTGATGCGCAAAGCCATATATCCATCAGCATAATTAGTATAGGATTTAATGACAGTGGAAATTGACCTCCTTAAGCTAAAATCTCTCAGCTAGAACTTAAATTTTTTTGGTGAGGATATAAAGTGGCCACTTGGGTTTCTTCAAGAACTAGCTGAAAGAGGACACGTCGCCTTCAGAGAGTGACGTGTCCTGTTCTAAAATAGACCTGGTGAATTGTCCTCTAGGTCTGTCTTTTAATATGTATGTATGTAAGTCCGTATAGCCTATGTATACTTTAGAGGGCTGCAGTCAGATGGGATGGACGCCACCTGCAATACCTTGAAGGTATAGTAAAATACAGCAGTTTGGGGACTAAATCTTTGTTCAATAAACATTGATATTGCTCCTTTGACTTCTCTGGAGCTGATCTACAACAGCTAGAATTAGGTCTTGACGATTTTCTTGAAGATTTTTTTCACAAGAGCTAAAAAGGTGGTTGTCTCTGGGAGGGATCAAGGCAAAATAGTGTCTTACAGCACGCAGCACTTACAGATCTTTGAAATTCTTGCTTCCTTTTCATCTATTGCATGGTATGTGATGATGATGCACCTGGTTCAGATATGTCCTCATAAAATTTCTGCACTGAAAAATTTCACCTTGCATCATGCTTCTGAAATGAGAGTTCTTGTATTACTCACCTGCTGTGAAATTTGGTTAACTCTTCTAAATATGACTATTGTAATTTGTAAGGATTTTGATTTCTTCTTCTGCCTTAGTATGCCACATTCTTTGATATATTAATTTCTTCAACACTAACTTGCTAACTTCCAAATGGTGATCCATACAGTGTTCAAAATGAGCTGTTACTGTAAATACTTTCAGCCCTATTGTGTTAGAAAAGGTGAAAATTCAAATTTAATTTGTATATATCTTCTTGCAATTAAGCCAGAATTCTGTATTATTTTGCTACAGTGTCATTAGATTTTAGTTATGTTTTGCAGTTAATTAGAAGAATTTTTGCTGTAATTACTGGAATTTTCTCTCATAGTTTCTGCAAGCCTAGTTTTATAGTTTATAAAAATGCAGTCAGAGCCATAATCATTGGTTCATAGTAAGCAGTGTTCTCTGGTCTATAAGGTAGTAGTGGCTTAGCTAGATAATTAATAAGGCTGTAAAATCTGTGACTTTTTATCAGGTTTCTCTTGGTAAAGGCTTGCTAAATCCTAGTCCTGGATCCAAAACCTATTTAAGCTAGTGGAGGAATTTCAGTAACCTCTGGATTGGAATGTTAATAGTTGCATATAATTGAATTTCTCAAACCAATGTTATAGGAGAATAGAGACAAGATAAGCATGACTTGGGCACTGGTTTGAATATTTTGGTATTTTGTATCCCCTACAGCCTGCAAGTCTGCAGAAGCTACAGCACCAGTGGCCTGTAGTTCCTGCACTGAGCATCATTGGGTCTGTACATGTGTAAGGAGATGGCAGCGTGCTTTGAGCTGCCGGGTCTTAGCCAAAGTGAAGATTAGACTTGTGGTTGTCTGGTGGCCGAGCAGCTTTCCTATCCATAGCTCCACTCTGGAAGGTGTTATGATATGCTCCATCAAAACAAATGAGAAAATGTTGCAAACCCCAGCTGACAAATCACAGGATTGGTGCTATGGTCCCAGAGACTAATCATGTAGAGTGGATCATTCCTTTTGTGTTGGTTCTTTCATTACCCTTTGAAGACCTGTAGGATACAAAGCAGGAGTTGCAAGATGCTTTCATATAAACTGTATATTAAGCAAAGCATCTGTCACTCCATCCTGGTATTTTTTTCATCTGGTAAATGTTGTTGCCATGACATGATGGAGCAGTCACATTGGAGCAGTCACAGCGAAGACATGGAGATATCTCAATAAGCTGTTTGGGAGCTAAGAGGTCAATAACTTAGTAGGGACTGATGCCCTTTCCTTGTGGCCCAATACATTTTATACCCTGAAAAATATTCCATCTCTTGGTCATGAGATGCTTAACCCTGAAGCAGAAGAGGCAAGGAAGAATGGTGGTAGTCTCTGATCAGCCTGCAGGCCATAATACAGTAGATCTCAAGAATGATGAGGAAACATCTGTTGAGCATGCACTCACTGACGACCAAGCTGTCTCTTGTCTGCACTGTCCCTAGAGCAGCAAATGCAGGAGAACATGCTATAGGGTCCTCCAAGACATACAGACTTATGTCAGATTTATTATCTTAAATGTACTGGAGCTAGTAGGACCACATTGCACCTGCAACTGAACTACTAAATCCAGACAGTGCTCCAATGCATGTTAGAGTAAGGAATTCCTGACCCAGGTCTTCTATACCTTCTGTACAGTGCTTCTATTTTACAGCCTGGATGCGACCTTGGCTGTTCCTTCCAGCCTAATTTTAATAGCTCCAATAATGAGATTTTGACCAGTCAGTTGTCTGGTATCTTTGTATCACATTATTTCCAATTGTCCTTAATTTTTATGAACTTTTCCATAAGCTTATTATTCTGCAGAAGATGTGCACGTGACACATGATAACTAGGGGTGAATTTCTTTGACAGTTTCCATCATCCAGGGATGTTACATCCTTGGCTATTCCAAATATATCTACATTACCGCAGTGGAATGTGTTTTGCAACATTTTTTGCCACAAATTGGGTCCATTTCATTCAGTCGTTCAGCATTTTGAGCTGGCTTTGTTTTGAAAGCCAAATTCAAAAGACGGGAAGGTTCCTGTGCTAGGAAAGAATGAGATTTGCCTATTTGAGTATTGCAGTAGCTTCCTATGATGATGAACAATCCTAGCAAGCTGACGTAGAAAAAATAAACACGTGTACGTGTTTACTCAAGTTTTTAAATCCTTATGATTGAAATTATAATATAAATTAATAGCCTGACTACTGGAATTACTGCAATTTAACATGTGTAGTTTTGTTGCATCAGAGCTTATATCCTTGAAAGACAGATATGGTGTTTAGTCCCAATAAAGATCTTGCCTAAAACTGAGAAGGATAGGTCCTGTTTTAGATATGCAGAGAAGGCAAAGTGGAAGTTGGTTTGGAGAAAGTTGATGAAGATCTAGTGCTTGCTGGCTTGTGAAGGCAAGCTGTCCCAAGCAAAGCTTTGTTTTAAAGCCCCAGCCCTCAGGATATGTGGGAGAAGCCTCATTCTCCCACACTGAAGAGATGGAGCATTAAATGCATGGTTTAGGTTTCACTGTTTTCTTTGGAAAATGGCTTGTCTTCAGATCCTATGTTCAAACCAAGGCACATCATCCTGTCTCTAAATGTTCACAAATAAGGAATTAACAATGACACTAAAAGGATTGGGTTATTTATTATTAGTACTTAAGAGGAAGCGAGTGGCCTATGATCCATAATCTTAAATCACTTAAACACCAGAGCCCTCCTTTGACAACTAGGATCATGTATATAATACAAGCACATGGCCTCTATCTCCCGTAGTAGCAGTTGCTCAAACATAAGATGGAATTTACTCTTATATTTAAAAGTACAGGCTTCTGGGTTATTCTTCTAGTAATAAGCAGAGGTAAATGCATTCAAAAGCTAAGAAGCCTTTATATACTTGAGCAGTATCTCTCACCTAGCAGAACCTGGGGTCCTTTGAAAAAGAAAAAGAAGCCAGAGCATTTTTAAGTAGCCGAAAAAATCTTTGCAATATCCTAATCTGATATAGGAAAAGTACACCCTGAATTAAACATTCTAGTTTTTGAAATCTGCTAGACAGTAAATGAAAAATTTATAGATATTAGCTCTCCTATAAGAAATAGGTCATTGTACATGAAAGCAGAAAAACATTAACTTAGATGCAAATGTCTCAAGGTCTCATCTAATGATAACGTTCTGAAATGTCAGTTAAATCCAAAGATTTTCATCTCTCAATCTCTGTGCTATTGTATGGCTTAGGATTTGCTCAAAAAGCAATTAAATACATATCTATCATGTCTTAATCTGTTCCTTCAGAAAAGCCATAGCGCAATATAAAACTGTTCATTATTGGGCCGCTATACTTCCATACAGGAGAGATTTTTGGTAAATAGATCCAGGTTATAACTCTATTAAATTTTAATTTATGAAGGCACAGTGCTTCTCGGTCCTGTTTGCTATTAATAAGGTCTTCAGGAGCCATAGGAAGCATTAGTGATATCCTGACACGAGTACTAGCATCACGCTGCTGTTCCTACACTGTCCCATCACAAAGCGGTTTCTGTATGGTGCTGACTGGATTTCATCCTGGATGACCAGAGGTGGAAGGCTTCCAAGCTTCATGGCCAAAGAGAACATCTGCAAAATTAGGTGTGACAGCTACATACAATTCCCTGTTGAAGAGGGAAGGTAAAAATCGTTTGGACAAGTATTTTTGTTTTATTGTAGAGGCTGGGTTGTTGGTCGTTCCTTGCAGATGGAACAGGTGAACCTGAAGTCTCCCCTCACCTCACAGAGCTGAGCTAGGACCAGGTACAGTTGAATCCACGGTTCTTTGGAGAGCGGGATACAGGAGAGATGGTCATGAACTCACTGCATTTCACCTGGGCCTGAAAGCAGGGCCTGTGCCCC